TTTTTTTTTTTTGAGACAGAGTCTCACTCTGTTGCCCAGGCTGGCAGGCTGGAGTGCAGTGGCACGATCTCAGCTTACTGCAACCTCTGCCTTCCTGGGTTCAAGCGATTCTCCTGCCTCAGCCTCCTGAGTAGCTGGGACTAGAGGCGCACGCCACCACACCTGGCTAATTTTTGTATTTTTTAGTAGCCATATTGGCCAGGCTGGTCTCAAAATCCAGACCTCATGATCCACCCACCTTGGCCTCCAAAGTGCTGAGATTACAGGTGTGAGCCACTGCGCGCAGTCAAGAGTTTGATTTTTATAAAACTGAGCCAGGTCCTGTTGTAAGAACTTTGTAGGAAGTATCCCATATACCCCACAGACTCTGAAAAAACTCTGTTCTACACAGGTGAGGAAACTGAAGCTAACGAAGCTAGGTGGATTGACCACAGACTCTCAGTAGCTTCTATGAGGTTTTGCCTCTACATCTAATATGGTTTGGCTGTGTCCCCACCCAAATCTCATCTTGAATTGTACTTCCCATAATCCCCACATATCGTGGGAAGGACCCTGTGGTAGGTAATTGAGTCATGGGAGCTGATACCCCCATGCTGTTCCTGTGATAGTGAGTTCTCACGAGATTTGATGGTTTTATAGGGGGCTTTTGCCCTTTTGCTCAGCACTTCTCCTTCCTGCTGCCATGTAAAGGACATGTTTGCTTCCCCTTCTGCCATGATTCTAAGTTTCCTGAGGCCTCCCCAGCCCTGCAGAACTGTGAGTCAATTAAACCTCTTTCCTTTATAAATTACCCAGTCGTGGGAAGTTCTTTATAACAGCGTGAGAACAGACTAATACAACACCTCAACCCTGACCTATAAAGTAACCAGGCGCCTGGGCTGAGAAGGGAGCAGGAACATTAACCAAGAGAGAATCCAACCTGTTCATGCCTGTTGGGTCCTCACTGACCTTCCCCCAAGGCACCTTAAGGCCAGAGAAGTGATGGGGAAGGGAGAGAGGGTGAAGGCAGAAGCTCCCAGGCTTCTTGTGTGGGCCTGAGAATTCCTCCTACATTCCCTTGGCCTCCAGATTCCCTGCCCCCCACAAGCCCAACACCATGTTGCCGGCAGAGCGATCTTTTCAAAACACAAGTCTGAGCACATCAGCACCGGGTTTATAACACCTTGATGGTGTAATCCACACATTTGAAATGTGAGCATTCCTGGCAGAGGGAACTGCACATGGAGATCCCAGACAGGGGAGAGGAAGCAAGAAGCATGTAGCAAACTGCCAGTAGTTAAGAATGGCTGGGACGCAGAGTAGAATGGAGGACTGGGGATAGATGTGTCTGGCCCTACACAACCTTATTTCTTATCCCCATTTTACAGGTGATGAAACTGAGGTTCAGGCCCATGATAAGCCTGAAGACACACAGCTAGTGAGTTGTGGAGTCAGAACTTAAACCCAAATCCATCTGACGCCAAACTTCACGTATCTCCATTCACTGTTCGCACTCTCGCCCACTTCGACCCATCAAAGTTACCTCCAGACCTTTGCTTGTGCTGTTCTCTGACTGACATGCCTTCCCCTCAATTGCTCTCAGCTGAAACCTGGCACAGTCATCACGTAAAGAAGGACATGTTTGCTTCCCCTTCTGCCATGATTCTAAGTTTCCTGAGGCCTCCCCAGCCCTGCAGAACTACCTCTTTCCTTTATAAATTACCCAGTCTTGGGAAGTTCTTTTTAACAGCGTGAGAACAGACTAATACAACACCTCAACCCTCACCTATAAAGTAACTAGGTGCCTGGGCTGAGAAGGGAGCAGGAACATCATCAAGTGCCTGCTCACCAGCGAGACCTCTTCTATTCAGGGAGACTTTCTTGAGCCCCGCCCCTGGAATTAACCTCTTCCTTCCAGACCAGTTTGCTGGTGCCCCTAATCCACAGTTTCCCAACCTCAGTTCTGATATTTGGGGCTGGATAATCTTTGTTGGGCCTGTCGTGTGCACTGCAGGATGTTGGGCAGTATCCCTGCTCTCCACCCGCTAGAGGCCATGGCACCCTCCTCAAGTTGCAACAAGCAAAATATGTCTTCAGACACTGCCACTGTCCCCTAGGGTGCTCAGTCACCTCTATGGAGAACCAGTGTCCTAAGCTACAATACTCACTGATAAATAGTTGAGTCTGTGTCTATCTTACCAGTAAAGCCTGGGGTCTCAAACTAAGTTGTCAGCAGCAGACAGACAGGTAACCCCAGTGTAGCAGGGACAAACTGGCCTTCTGATGTCCCAGCAAAAGGGGTCCATCACAGTCAGCCAATGATTGTCATGTAGGACTGTGGGCCCGCTGTTGCTAGATCTGATTTTTTAAGACATTTTCTTTTTGTGTTTGTTTTTGTTTTAGACAGTCTCACTCTGTCGCCCAGGCTGGAATGCGATGGTATGATCTCGGCTCACTGCAACTTCCACCTCCCAGGTTTAAATGATTCTCCTGCCTCAGGCTTCCAAGTAGCTGGGACTACAGGTGCCGGCCACCAAGCCCGGAGAATTTTTCGTATTTTTAGTAGAAATGGGGTTTCCACTGTGTTGGCCAGGCTGGTCTCGAACTCCTGACTTCAGATGATCCACCCTCCTCGGCCTCCCAAAGTGCTGGGATTACAGGTGTGAGCCACCGTGCCTGGCTCAAAACATTTCCATGTATAATCTCCATGTTTAAAAAAAAATCCTGGCAAGGAATTCAATTCTAAAACAAAGGAACAAAAAACCATGTGCCCCTGAAAGTCATGTGTGGAATGACTCTCACATGTGATCTGCCAATCTGCAAACTCTCTAGAATGTGAGCTGTGCTCCAGGCACCAAGGCAGCCTGCGTGTTCACTAATTACGCAGCTCCTTAAATCTCCTACAAAATACCCAAGGGGCTATGGTGTTTCACCAGCTCCAGGAGTTGCAAAATCGGCATCTTAAATTACAGTCATGAGCAGACAACTGGGGTCTGTTGACACATGTTGGGTGAGCCTCCCTTCCAGGGAAGATTATCCCCCATCACCCACACTACAATCCGTCACCCTCATGCTAAGGCCTGAAAGCAACCCGCTGTGCCAGCCTCCCCAAGCCCCAGCTTCCCGGTGAGATCAAAGATCCTTGGAAGGGGGTTTCCTGCCACCTGCACCAGTGAGGACAAAGGTAATATGGGAGGAACCGTAGGCCCTGGCTTTCCTCTCAACCTGCCTGTTCACCAGTTCCCAGGCCTATCAGGCCAAAATGCTTCTGGCTTCCAGAAACAAAGAACCCTACTGCCCTACAAAAAATGGGTTGTTCTGGGCCGGGCACAGTGGCTCACACCTGTAATCCCAGCACTTTGGGAGGCCGAGCCCTTACTATGTGCCAAGCACCATGCCAAGTATGTCATGTGCAGAGACTCAGTTGTTCCTCATGA